CAAAAGCCACTATCAGTGGGATCCACTCAGTTAGTCCAACTTTTCATTTTAAAAATAATCGATTAGCCTTTAGCCTTAAAGGGGGTTATAGGTAAAAGACACAAAGGCATTTTTTTTTGCCATTAGTATTTTTATGCAAGTTGACCAGAGAACTGTGCAGAAGAACTGGTGACAATATGGTATGGACTGAACTGTGTGTCCCCTCTCCCAATTTCTAAGACTGTATTTGGAGAGAGGCCTGGAAACCATGGCTTAAGAAGTTGTTGGACCTGTCAGATGGCTCAGTATGTAAAGGCACTTGCCACTCAGCCTGATGCCCTGAGTTAGAGCCTCAGAGCCCACATGGTGGATCCCCAGAGCCCACTCCTCAAAGTTGTCCTCTGTATCCACACTTGTGTTCACACACACACACACACACACACACACACACACACACACACACACACACACACACACTGGGGGGAGGGAGAAAGAGATTAATACAATAATCATAAAATATCTTTTAAAAAATTAAATTTATAGCCAGGCAGTGGTGATGCAGGACTTTAATTCCAGCACTAGGGAGGCAGAGGCAGGTGAATCTCTGTGAGTTTGAGACCAGTCTGGTCTACAAAGTGAGTTCCAGAACAGGCTCTAAAAGTTACACAGACAAACCCTGTCTCAAAAAACCAATCAATCAGTAAATTTATTTATTTGTTTATTTTATACCCCAATTGCAGTTTCCTCTACTTCCAGTCCCTCTTCTATACCCTGCCCATTCCCACCCCCATTCCATTCTTCCTACATTTCTGTTTAGAAAAGGGCAGGTCTCCCATGAATATCAACAAAACATTGAATATCAAGTCGCAGTATGATTAAGTACCTCCCATGTATAAAGGCTGGACAAGGAAACCCAGTATGAGGTGCAGGGTCCCAAAATCCTTTAAAAGAGTCAAAGACAGCCTCTGTTGCCATTGTTAGGAGTCCCACAAGAGAACCAAGCTACACAACTGTAACTTATATGCAGAGTGTCTAAGTCAGTCCTACGTAGGCTCCCTGGTTGTTTATTTAGTCTCTCTGATTTGCTATGAGCCCAGGTTAGTTGATTCTGTGTCTTCTGTGGCTCCTACAATCCTTTCTCCTCCTCATCTGCAGGATTCCCTGAACTCCTCTGAGTATCTGGCTGTGAGTTTGCATCAGTTTCCATCAGTTGTAGATATTGCCTCTCTGTTAACTTTTTTAAAGAGCATTTGCAGATTGCACTGTGCCCTGTGGCCACCAGCTTTATGATCAAGTCCACAGTGGTCTTCAACCTTGGTATAGATACCAACACTTCAGCTGAGTCTTCTTCTAGCTATTTGCAAAGTTCCCAATGTAGAAGAAAACTTTGCTGCTCTGAGCATTTAAGAGGAAGTATTTGGTTACGAGTGTTTTTCCTTTCACTGAATTATTCCAGGAGTCCTATGTTTGGGTGGTGACATTATGTGCCATAGTCACTCATATTGAGTCCATTTGTGTATGGGGTGAAATTTAAGGATGAGAACATCATCCTGAATGTTCAGGTCCTGGTATTTTGTCCATGGCAAATGATGAACCAAAGCAATTTCCAGTTTTTATCTGCACTGCAGAGACTCAATGTTTTCATGGCAAACACATGATCCTTGGGAATGCTAAAGAAGACATGAACATTCTTGAAGCCATGAGCAACTTGGCTCCAAGAAGAGCAAGTTCACTAAGAAGCTCATCACTGCCAACATTGGGACAGCTGTGATAGTTCTGACCTACATACACCTTGAACACCAGACCGTCCCATCTGCAGCTCAGAGGGCACCCATCCATCTGTGGCATCCATCCTTCTGCTATTCATATCTTATAGTCCTTGAGTCCGGCTGCTCTTCTTTGGGTTGTTAATTTCCTCATTTCCCTGAAGTTGAGCTGGATTGCACAGTTAAGGTTGTGGTTATGAGTAGAAACTAAATAAGGGAAAGAAAGACACCATGTTGTAATAAGTCAATACCTTCTATCCAAAGGGTTTTATTTTGCCAAGGAGAGGGGAGGCTGGGGAGGAGCTGGTAGTTCAATCTTGGGGTACCAAGCTGAAGAGCCAGACAAACACTAGAGCTGTCAACTTCCTTCCAATGCTCCTTTGATGCTAAAGCATCTGCATCATGATTCCTAACTGTCTTCCTAAACACCTCCTGACAGATGCCCTTGTAAACACATGCAACTCCTTCAGACCTTTGCTGCTGCTGTGGAAGTCTGTTAGTGCTGCTAGGCAAGGGAACCTCTGAATGTTGCCTTCTTTATAGAGAAGCGAAGAGGCCTAACTCAGCATAACAGGAAGCAGGTTGTGAAAGGAGAACTTGGCATCTGTTTTCTTTTCTAAAATTGTATGGTGGATTGAATGGGGTATAAAGAGATTTGCTAGGAGTTAAGATCAAAACTGTCTATGATTTTTTTTCCATCTTAGCATCAGACTGCTTAGTTATAAGGTAGGTGTGTTATTAGATCTGTTTACCATTATACAGTGAATTGACTCAGGATTCAGGAAGATAACCTCTAGCCTTAGCCTGTCATGACTAGTTGAAACTGGTAACTAAAATCTTTATGAACTCCCCTTTTTCTCATAGTTTCAAGAGACCATAAGTTATATATTATCTGTCATGTAAAGGATTAAGTGACCACAGTGAGGTAGACAGTGAAGGATGTGATAAAGTGTGCTATCTAGGGGTTGCTCATACACACACACCCACATACACACACACACACACACACACACACACACACACACACACACACACCTAGAAAAGTGACTATGAGACAGGAGGAGGGGACCTAAAGAGAGGGAGGGAGGCAAAGAGGATAATGGTGTATATATGAGATGAACGCAGAAAGTCAATCTGTTTGGGTGGAGAAAGGGAAGGTCTATTTGATGGGGTGGAAAGGTAGTGAGAGCATAAATGAAAACATTACATGAAAAATGTCAGAGCAGCTCAGTTCTATGCTAAATATAAAAAAACCCACAAAACAAAAATGAAGCCGAGATGTGCATGGAACAGCACAGCACACAGGGTCAAACATCGTCAGCTCCTGGAGGCAGTTTCAGGTAAATGAAGGTTCTAGATTGGGTTCACACATCAGTGGGAAGTTGTGTCTACCTTTCCAGCAGGGGCCCCATTTATCTGCTCTTTTCTATACACAGCAGCATTTTCCATGAATGCTCTCGGAGATGCGCATGCAGAAGAGCCATGCCAAGAAATTGCTCAAGAAACACATTTCACGTGGTGGTGCACACCCAGTGTAATTTACTCAGGAGGCCCAGGCAGGTGTAACCCTTGAACTCAGGGCTTTAAGATCATCCTGGGCATCATAGTAAACACAAGCCTCAAAAAATACACATGATAAACTTAGTGTTCAAATACATTTTTTCTTCCTATTGTATGTTTCTTCCCTAGCCTAGGGATGAAGGTCAATGGGTCAGTTGTTTACCTAGCATGCACATGGTCCTGGGCACCATCCTCAGCACTCACACAATAGGGCATGGTGTAGCTAGAGTTTTCCTGCCTTGCCCACAGTCAGGACAAATCATTGTTACCCGCCAGTCTAGAAGAGATACTTTGGTGAAGGTGGAACTTGCTGGCTCCTTTCAAAATTATCCCAGCCTAAAATCATTTCCTATCTTGGCAACTGATTCAACAACACCTTTGTTGGGATTTTGCCGGGCTCCAGCTGCAAGACTGCACATGAGCAGTTCAGGAGCTACACAAGGGGTCTGGGGTCTTGCGTCTGAAGTCACCAGTGTGTGCTGGTGATTACGTATGTGGAGAGTGGTCAAGCAATCTAGCATGCATGGTGTAGCTCTGTAAGCTCACCTGCACCTTAAAGAGTCGGACACAGACCGCACTTCCTCTCGGTCTGTTCTGTTCTCTCTCTTCACCCCCCCATCTCTCTCCCTCCCTCCCTCCCTCCCTCCCTCCCTCCCTC